GTTATCTCGTTGAATCTTTTTTTGTTGATCTTCATTTTGATTCTTTTGCTGTCAACTGGAGTTGAAGGGAGAGAGAGAGAGACATACAAAGTGTCTAATAGATGTGATAGGAAAAGATGCGGTAGACATGAGGAAGTCGAAGAAAAAGTAAATATATGTTTATGATAATAACTCTATGATGTTTGTGACAACAAAGTATGCTCCATTGGATTTTTTTTTTAACTTCATCTAAATGAAGTTTTGTTCATATGCTCAAAGGATCGTGAGGGAATACGTTGGATTTGTGGGTTAGATTCAACTGAATGGCCCATATCCAATGGCTTGAATAGGGAAGGAAGAGCCGTCTTTGATGCAGGGTATATGTTAAGAGTTGAGCCTTTGCTAGCTCCGGTGTTAACATGACACTTGGTAACAACGTGGCGTTGGTTCAGAGGGCTCAATTGGACAACATTGAGGACCTCATGTTGCCTTCCACGCCGTAACACTTGCGAATATTGATTTCCCTCTCCATCCACAAGTCTTTGCACAAATGAAGCATCGCCCCAGGGGCCATGGGATGCTGGCTGGGAAGGCATAGTCGCAGGATTATTTAGTTGAGTTGATACACCTCCCCAAGCCTGTAGTTCTGGCTTTGGAACCCCAGCTGAACCCCATCCTTGAGCTTCAGCATGAGAGTTGTGGCTACACACAACCTGTTTTTGCATATTTGTACCTGCCATTTTGAGGTCAACCCCTGAAGGCAGGACAGGTGCCACTGCTGTTGGATGAGGATGTAACTTAGTATTATCTATAGACATCGAGCTAATACCAGGTTGTGAACAGGAAGCTTTTTCAAGATTTTGTACAGCATGCTCTGGGTGCAGTACCACGCAGGTCTGCAAACCTCCATGATTACCTGGGAATGAATTTCCTACGAGAGACCCAGGAAGCTCGGACAGGTGTTGGTGACCATTTATTTTCAAAAGCCTCGCCCCTTGGTCACACCAAGAGTAGTCTAAGGTGCAGGTGAAGGAAGAAATCAAGAAAAGGCATGAGGGACGACCTTGGTATTATGATTGGCTATTTGGGCATGATTCAACAAGAATTAATTTGCCTTGTTAATTTTAAATAAATAATTATTAAATATTTGGTTTTGTTATATAAATAAAATATTAATTTTTGGTAGTTTAATATTTTTGTGAACAAATTGAGTCAAGAAATTACCAAAGTAACATTTCTTGAATTGAGTAGTTCGTGAAAAATATTAAATGTTAGTGTTTGTGTATATTCATGCGAGTATTAGTCAGCCCAAAGGAAGATTAATATTTGGCCGAATTGCATATACACTTGTAATGATAAACATGTGATAATTATAAATATTTGCTTTGTCGATGATAAATTAATCCAAAGACTGATTTGTTGTTGGACGTGTTTTATTGTCAATGTTTGATTATTACAACAAGATACCTCTAGCAGTTAATATTACTGTCCAAAGACTTGATATTGATGGTGCATTGGGTGTCTTGAGATGGGTTAAACCATTATTTGAATATATATTTTATTTATAATTATTTATTTTATAATGTGAGCATAATTAGTTTATTTCTTTTGTTCTAATCCAGCTACAATTGTTTCGTATCTCGCCAATTTAAATTCGTTCCGGTCCTCAATGGAACAAATTTTAAGGACTCGGAAAGAGAACATTGATATTATTCTTGGCCGCATGGATATGGATCTTGCGTTAAGGACTGAGCAACCCCCTGTTCCTACGGATTCAAGTACTTCTGAACAGAAAAGAGATTATGAAAAGTGGGATCGCTCAAATCGCATGAGTCTAATGATCATTAAGGGCGGCATCCCGGAGGTGTTTAGGAGCACTGTTTCTGAAAACATCACAAGTGCCAAAGAGTTCCTTGCTGAAATTGAGCAGCGCTTTGCAAAAAAGTGATAAGGCGGAGGCAAGCACTCTTCTTCAGAACTTGATCTCCATGAAATATCAGGGCAAAGGAAATATCAGGGAGTACATTATGAGCATGTCTAATATTGTTTTTAAACTCAAGGCACTAAAGCTCGAACTCTCAGAAGACTTGCTCATTCATTTGGTGTTGATTTCTCTTCCGCAACGTTTAATCGAGTTTAAGGTATCTTACAAGCTGTCGAAGGATAAATGGTCTCTTAATGAGCTCATTTCTCATTGCGTACAAGAAGAAGAAAGGCTAAAGCATGACAAGACAGAAAATGCTTATTTTGCAAGCACCTTTAAGGCTAAAGGCAAAAGAAAGAGATCGGAGGATCCCAAGAAGGAAGCTGCTAAAGGTCCAGAACAAAAGAAACAAACTCAAGAAAATAAATGTTTCTTTTGCAATAAGACTGGACACGTAAAGAAGCAATGTGTTAAATATCATGCTTGGCGTGAAAAGAAAGGGTTGCCTAAACTACCGGAAGTCAACTAATTCTGAAAGATGAATATACGTTGAAAATGGCAAATTGGTGGAGATGAAGACTATTGAACATTTTAGATTATTATTGTGTACTGGTTTTTTATTTTAGATTTAAAAGACATTTTTTGTCGTGTCGTCTTTTAGATGGAATTTGGTTTCAGTTTCTTATTTGGACAAATTAGGTTATTTGTGTTCATTTGGAAACAATAAGTTCAGTTTGTCTTTTAATTCAGATATTGTTATAACTGGTTCATTTTTTGGCTAATGATAATCTATATTTACTTGATACTGTGGTCACCTATAATGCAACTCTTAATACAGAATCTCGTGGTATTAAACTAAAATTGGACTCCCGAACAGTAAGTAGTTACTTCTTTGGTTATTCTGAAAGAGCCAGGGGATATAAATTTTATGATCCCACATTAAAGACAATTTTTGATATGGGAACTGTTATGTTCTTTGAGGATATTGAGTTTGGGGGGAAGAATAAGATTAAGATTTTTTGTATTGGAGGAAGAATCAACAATAAATCCAGAACCGATTCAAACAGTTACTTTTGATAAAGTAAGTTTGGAACCTCCACAAGACATTGATGATAAACCCCATATTCAAGATGATTTGATTGTTCGTCAAGACCAAACTCAAGATCCTCAAGAACCTGTGCGTCATGAGTCGGTGATACTCCAGTTACTAAGGGAGACAAGTTTAGTCTAAATTAGTGCCCAAAGGGGAATTTGGAAATTGAGGAAATGCAACAGATTCCTCATGCATTAGCTATCGGGAGTTTGATGTATTCCCAAATATGTACGCGTCCAGACATTACATACATAGTTGGGGTTTTAGGCAGATATTTAAGCAATTCAGGAATAGACCATTGGAAAGCAGCAAAAGGGGTCATAAGATATTTCAAAAGAACAAAAGATTATATGTTCACATACAGGAGGTCATACTAGTTGGAGATCGCATGATTTTCTGACTCATATTTTGCAGGATGTCAAGAATTTGTAGCATGCTATGAGGCATCAAATCATGGAATATGGCTGAGAAATTTTGTCACAGGGCTGCAAATTGTGAAAGGCATTGAAAGACCACTTAAGTTATATTGTGACAATAAATCAGCTGTATTGTTAAGGAAAGAGTACAAAGTCGACAGATTTCCATAGAACACTTAAGGACAAACTCCATGATAGCATATCCTCTAACTAAAGGACTTCTGCCCAAGGTCTTTCATGAGCATGTTGCTCACATGGGTGTTTTACAGTTTGAGGAATTTGTGGTTTAGTGGGAGTTAGTCATTTTCATATATTTTATGTTCTATGTTTAATTTTATATATGTATACAATTTTTTTTTGGACATATTTGGTTATCTATAGATATGCGGTTTTCTTGTTCATTCATTACACTTTGTACATTAAGGTTATTGTATCGATCTCGATAAGTTAAAGTTTGGACCAGTTGAAAATAGACGTGTACAGATCACCTTCACGTAATTTTTCATGCTACACATTTCATGATGAATCCATGTCAGTTGGTTATGTCAGGATGAGTAATCTTGTTGGTTTTAGTTGCGATGATGCAATGAAAAGCTGGTTTGGTTCTATATCCTGATATGATTAATGAACAGGACTTTTGGAATATGCTAAAGGAATATAATGACAATTTTGAGCTCATAAAGTCTAACACATTTGTAAGGTTGTAAAGACATATATATTTGTGACTAGTGGGAGATTGTTGGCAAATTTTGAGTCATGTATATATATGATACATATTTAAATGTGTTAGGGTCATCATTTATTAAGCCAAATAATAAAGTGATCTAAATAAATTAAAGTTTTGGCTAAAGGCATATGTCATGAAAATATGATTGTGTAGAGACCATAGAGTAATTTCTAATTTGATGAGGAGTCAAATTAAAAATACTATAACTTAAGTAATTAACCTAATTTTGGTTATATAAAGGGTCATGGTCCCCTTCTGAGAGCACACAGACAGAACACAATTACAGTCCCGTTCTTTTTTTTCTATCCCCATCAAGAAAGAAAATCAAGAGGGAAATACAGGTGCTCTTCAGGTGGAAGACCATAAGATCAAATCAAAAGTGCTCTACAAAGGATATCGTCATTATGGTCAATTATGGTCAATTCAGGTACGCTTTTGCATTTAGTTTATAACATGTTTACAGTATTTATATGTTTGATCATTAGAATGAAGATCATATTAATTACATTTTACCTATCAAAGCTATCATAAAGTTTTCCTTTTCAATCATGTTTTTCGTTTTAAAAAAATCTAATTTCTGGTTCTAGAAGATAGTGGACATTTTTTTTATGTAGAATTTGTATTGATTATGCATACCCCAGATGAACATAATAAATAAAACTTTTTTTTTTTTTTTGCTGTTTAATCTCTATATGGCTCACTTCATATTTTTCTATGATTGTGATCTACCGCAATTACCTTTTCTGTGTTTATTTTCTTCAGCGGTAAGTAGTGAGAGATGAAGCATTTATTGTTTTTCTTTTGAGAAAATGCATTGCGGGGCTACATAGAAGTGGCAACATAGTGAATTGGTGGCAAGAAATGGAGCAACCACGGCGCTGGCACGACGTGTTTTGGTTAGGGATATTTCTGATCCATTTGGTTGATTTGGGATTAGTTCTTGGGGTTTTAGGCCTCAACAGGTTCAAGCAAAAGAACAGGCTTGTCATTGACAAGTACACCTACCGGTTCATGGAGAATGAGGCTGGTTTGACGGAGGATTACTTGCCGCTTTACACGGTGGCCGGAAGAGTTGGAACCGCCCTTGGATGGAGTTGGTTGCTGCTATTAGGCTCACGCGCTACCCAGATGATGAAGGTGTCTGTGCACATCCTCACTACTTACCTTGCAGTGATCAGTGTTTTGTGTTTCTGGGCTGAGCAGTTTTTCTGGGGAGTTGCCTTTGCTATTGGAGCAGCACTGCAGTTTTTGTATGTGATTTCTGTCATAGACAGGTATGGTAATGATGAAAGTGGTCTTTGGGTATGTTTTCTGTTTGAATTGTTATTATTTGAAGGTTTTTAATTGGGATCACTGTTGCTACTTTTCCGCAATCTATATTGTGGGAAATTGTGGACCTATTGTTGTGAGATGGTTGCAATGTTGTTGGTAGGTAGTTTGGCATTTGAAGGTGGTGTTTTATTGGATGTTATCGTCAAACTCTTGATTTAATTGTTAGACTCTTTCAAACTTATGATTCTAAGTAGATAAAAAGAGTTAACTCGATATCAAACTCTTCTCTGGATAAACTCAAGTAAACTTGCATACACTCAAGAGTCAAAATAGAGTCAATGAGTTTGAATTCAATTGTAATTTTTGCTCCAATTAACCCCACAATGATTTTTAAAAGAAGTGTTTTACCAGTGTCCAAATGATTTGAAGGCATTAACTCCTTTTTAAAGTGTTTTCACTTTAATGAGTTATGATCTTATAAATTAATAAATGATTTGGTCATTTATGCAGTTTTATCTTATTTAGTACTAATGTCCTATCACACTTTATTATTGTGGAGTGTTATTTTTACTTTATTATGAAATTGAAATGTTGAATTACTCTTGTATTAAGAGTATGGTTGTTAAGCGCATAGATGTCATCAATAGGCTTTTCAATATTATTTTTTATATTACATAAACTCTCACGAGTGTGTAGAAGCTCTGCCAGTTTATATGTTGTTATTGTAACAATAGACTTCTGTATAATTAATTTTGTTAAAACGAATTTGGGTGGCCTGTCTTTTCACTTCTCCAGACTACCATTTACAATGTTGGTTCTGCAAAAATCTGCCAAAATGATATGGAATCTTCCTGAGGTCAGGAGAGTGGCATGTGCATTTATGCTTGTTGTGCTTTTATGGATGGCCTTGTGGTCATTTGGAGCTGCTGGTGTCGTGGCTTCAAGCATAGGTGATGGTGGACGCTGGTGGCTTCTTGTGGTGAGCTGGCAAGTTTTGTTCTTCATTCTGTTCACCCTTGTTCGGACTGGTTATTTTGTGGCAGCAGATTTTTATAATCTAATTCCACTGATATTACCGTCATAATTCATGAATGCAGGTCCTCTCTGTAAGCTTATTTTGGACAGGAGCTGTGTTTTGCAACACTGTGCATGTCATTGTGTCTGCCACAGTGGTTCGTGTTACTATCCATGGTGGTAGAGAGGCTGCGTCAATTCCTGGTAACCCCTTAATGAAATCTTTACAGTATGCTTTAACAACATCTTTTGGCAGCATTTGTTATGGATCATTATTCACGGCTGCAATTAGGACACTACGATGGGAGGTATTAGCTGCCATTTACATTTTTTGTTAATTTTCTCAACTTCATCTCCTTTATATATTTGGAGGCTATTCATTTAATCCTTTTCATTCATAAAAAATTTGATGCCTTTCAGATCAGAGGAATCCGGTCAAAGATTGGCAACAATGAGTGTTTGCTTTGCTGTGTTGATTTCCTCTTCCATCTTGTGGAGACTCTCGTCCGTTTCTTTAACAAATATGCATATGTTCAGGTTGACTTCTTCGTCTATAGCACCAATTACTCACCATGAATGATGTATTTTATGTCATCTGTGACAAACAAGATTCAAAAAGAGAATTATTGATTTTCACTTAATTTAACTACCTGTTACCATATTGAGGTTAGAAGAGAAAATACAAGGGCAGTAGTTTACTTCACAATTAATCCAATTAGAAGAGCTTCCACACATAGACCTATACAAATAGCTTATAGTTTTGGCTTGTTATGATAAAACGTATCAAAATAAACTCTATTCTAACATTTTTCCATAAGTTTGATTGGTATATATTTGACATAGGCCATGTTTATGTAAATTTTTTTAAACACTTATAGAGAAGAAAATAAAAATGTAAAATAAATATAATATTTTTCACACGTGAATCTACTTATGTATCGCACCTTTTGAAGTTAAATGAAAGAGCTTTATAAGTGTATAAGTTTATTTTAGCTTATCTGCGGAACTCCATTTATTGTACTTTCTTAATTTCTTCTCTTATAAATGCTTACAGAGAAGTTTATCTAGAAAAAATTAAAAAGTATAAGAGTTTTATTAATTAAGCTATATTGCTAGAGACCCCAAATGAGCTTAAAGGCAAATTTTGTTTTGAGGTTTTGGTGATTATTGTTAGCAGCCATGTTCTTGTAAAACTAATGCTAGTAGCATGGTTTATGCTCATGTACCCTGCAGATTGCTGTTTATGGTAAAAGCTTTAACCGATCTGCTAGAGATGCATGGGAGCTATTCCAGTCAACTGGAGTTGAAGCAATTGTGGCCTATGATTGTTCAGGTGCTGTGCTTCTAATGGGAACCATTTTTGGGGGGCTGATAACTGGAACTTGCTCTGGTGTTTGGGCCTGGATTAAGTGGACTGACAGGGCTTTCATGATTGGGTCGACATCTATGCTCATGGGGATGGTATTGGTAAGTTTGTGTGAAGTTTTGGGGTTGGATACATGCTGTTATTGAACTTTCTGTTCTCAAAAGTTGGCCTGGTGGAGCTAGGCACTGTGAGGAGCACCAAATATTTTAATTTTAGTAAACAACCGGTGCAAAAATGCTTGCAAAAATTGAACCACAGGGGTTCAAATCCCTCCCCTTTAGTTGTTTCTCCAATTTTATTTAAGAACTACAATGCAATAAAATCTATATAATAATGAATAACGATTTATATACGCCCAAAATTATAAATGACACCTAGGGAAGAAAAATATAGATTTTATAGGTAATATAATGTGATAAGAAGAGAGATAGGGAGAAATGATAAGTGTTGATTAGGTGTTTAAAATTAATGGGTATCCGTGTATCATTTACTCATAAATAATATATTTTATATCGATTCATGTGGCTAAACTAGTGACTCAGCAATTAGTGACCAATCGATCTAGTATCATTTACTGGTCGTGACAGATGAGAGAATGACTCCGGTCTGAGTTCTATATAAGTCGCAAATATTGTCGTCATCATTTATGATCATGGCTTTGCTTGTTTTGGATTTTGGTAAAAACTGATTTGCTAAAATAGTGTTAGTGAGTACGTGTTTGCATTCATTGCGAAACTGTGCTCAGCTCAGCAGAAATTTCTTGTTTTGCGAAAGCGTGCCTTGTAAAGTGGGATCTTTGCATTGCAATGAGCGGAAATGTTGTTGGGTGATGAAAACGGTTAAGGTTTCAACATAAAATCAATTGACAATATGTAAAGTAGGCTAACATGTATTTAAATTATACTAAATGATATGAGGTAGGCGATGTGGAACTTTGCCCATGACAATAATCGGAAAAATGTTAGGTTTTTATTTTGACTCTGATACCATGTTAAGGTTCTAACATAAAACCAAAATTAATAATATATGAAGTAACATAAAACCAATTAACAATATATGGAGTAGCCTAAATCATACTAAATAATATGAGTGGACTTTTAACAAAAACAAACAGGAGAATTGATTCTGAAATGTAAATATAGATCCATTTTGTGTGGGTTCCATAGGAATCAATTTTTGTCTATGTTAAAGTTATTTTTCATTACTCTTGAAATCAATTTCATTCATTGCAAACTTGACTTTTTCTGAACCAAATAAGCTATATATGCAAATCATTCAAAACTATCCAATTAACCTTTGCCGAATAATTATTATAAAAGTAGATAAACTTAGTGTACATAAACTTTACATTGTAACTAAGCATGTGTATGCATGCATGCATATTACATGTTGTTTCAGGTTGGAATAGCCATGGTTGTGGTGGAAAGTGCTGTTACATCCATATACATATGCTATGCAGAAGATCCCTCATTGATTCAGAGATGGGACACTGAGTTTTTCGACCACATGTCTGAGACACTGCGCCAACGACTTCAGCATAGGAGTTCACGTGCAAGGGAAGTTTTAACCCTCAATCACCTTGAGTCACGTATGGGAGAACACTCTTCTATTTGAGGATTCTCTTCATGTTACACTACTCCACACCACTTTAACACTTTTCCATTTTGATGTCAAATCCTTCAGTTTTAGGCTTTAGCATCTCTTTGTTTCATTTTGTGGCTATAGGGTAACACCACAACTTCATATATGCAAGTTTCATGCTCCTTTGATGCCTCAAATATGGCCATAGTTTTGGTGCTTGTACTTTACACATTCTCCATACTATTTTAATCCTATAAGAGAATATTAGTATCGGCTTTAGAAGTTCTGAAGAAAAAGGGTATACAAGTCATATTTTCCGTTCATTCAATGAAACACAACGTATATTCTCTACGTATACTGTTGCTATCAAACTTCATTCATAACCTTTGAAGCTCATACGAAGCTTTAAATAAAAGATGCTATTATACTTAAATAAAAATGATGTAATTTAATTGAATCAATTATTTACCAATTTATAGATTTTCCAATTAGATCCACACGAGTTGGATAAAGTAAATGATAAAACAGTTGGGCTCCATCCATTTTTATCCAGTCCAAAATCATGGCCCATCTCAACTAGAGGCTGGAAAGAAAGAATTTTAAAATACATAAGAACTTTATAATTAAAAAATATTTAAAAATAAAATAAAATAAAAGAGTGAAGTAAAGAAGATAGTAGATTGCGTGGACGAGGAAGGGACGAAGAAAGGAAAGAAAAGAATGGGAATGCGTGATGCGAATAGAGACAAAGAAAGAAAGCAGAGAACAGAAATGGCGTATAAAATGCGTCATAACGCATTCCAATTTGGGCCTCACCTACTCCACCTCCTCCTCTCTTCTCCTCCCTTTCTGACACCCTCTTCTTCAAACACACTTCTCTCTCTCTCCCCACACAAACCAAGACAAACCTTTTCTTTCGCCCTTTCTCTTCACCTTATTCCAACCATTTTATTATTGTTATTCTTAATGAGAACAAAAAATAAAAGTATTTACTTCATGCATGCCTTCTTTTGTATCCCCTCTCCACACAATACTGACAAGAAATGAATCAAACAAAACACTGCTATGCACATGTTTTTCACTTGTTTTTTTTTATTTTTTTACAAATTCTTTTCTTTTTCACTTATGTTAATAAGAAAATGTGATTATATGCCATGAATCAAACAAATTAATACAGAAATAGAAGAAAATGGTGAGAGAAAATTGTGGTGTATCTTTGGGCTTATTTGTCCTCAGTCTCATCACCATCCCATCATGTACACACTTTCCTAGAAGCTCTTGGGATACCTATATTAGTTTCAGGAAGAGAGAAGAAGAAGAAAAAGGGTATCTTCTTCTCTGCCAAAACCCTTCACCGATGATTCAGTTCAGATTTCAGAACATCTCAGACCAGCTCACCTTAGCCCCTCCTAGACCACCAGCACACCGATATTCATCCCTTCTTTGCAAATTTTTCATCTTTTCCAACATTATTCTACAATATTTAATTATTAGTTTATTTATAACAAACAAAAATATAATAACTACTGTATTTGGGTACAGAGTATATATGCTAATTTTAGTAAAATATAAATATAGTAAATATCAAGAGTTTGAAAATAAAATATATTGAAGAAAAATTATTTATTGAAATACTTAGAAAAATAATAATTATTTAATATTTTTCATTACTTATTTCAACAAATTTTATAAAATTTCGTATAACCACTTTCCATTTGATAGAAAACATTAAGTACAAATTTATTTTGAGATTTTTAAAATTAATCCATTCACATAGAATAAAAACATATTTAATTTTTATTTTAATAATAGATTTTATAACTTTTTTTTAAATTCACTTTCACAATTTTTAAACCTTTTAATAATTATTCAAAATTTATTTTGAAAATATTTACTTTCTTTTACTTTAAATTGATAATAAAAAGGAAAATAGTGGAAAAAAAGAAATATTGTATTAAAATAATAAAAATTAAGATTTTTTAAAATTAAATCAAAGAGAAAGAAAATAACGAATAATGGATAAAACTTATTTATAATTATTAACTTATTAATATTTTTTATTACTTTTAAAATTATTTATTAATATTATAATAAATACACATTAATATAATAAAATATTTATGATATAATCTATTATTATGTCGAAGACATAAAGGATAATGTAATATAAAAATCATATTAAAAAACATAATATATATAATAAAAGTTTTAAAATAAAAAATAATATTATAAAAAATTGAATTATTTAATTATTATATATTAAAATATCATTAAAAAATATGATTACTAGATTATAAATTATTTTAATATAAAATATATAAATAACTATAAATATAAAACTAAATTTATTAACTTATTATTATATTTACATGTGATTTTACAATGAATATAAATGTAACTTATATAAAAATATTATTGTTATTATATTTATAGAATAAAATGTGAATATTTATTCTAAAATTAACATTGGACGATATTTTTGTTGTCTTATAATGTATTTTTCAATTCAGAAGGTCAAAACAATAAGTTTAGATGTGAAAACTTTTTCAAAACTTCTAAAAATATCTAAGGAATATTTAGAAATAATTTCATCTGTGAATGAAAATATCGCTTGTAACTTGTGATATTAAGGAAGCAATTTACATTAAATAACCTGAAAAACTCTTCTCTATCTAGTTATGATGAATGTTTTGTCTCTAACTTCATAAATCTTCTCACGTATTTAAATAAGCTTCAGATTTGTGGTATTTCACCTTTACCTTCTACTAATATGAGAAGATTTATAATATTAAAGAGATCAGGAACTGATGTAGATTATTAGATTTTTTATTTTTACATTTTAAGTAAACTTATATTTATTCATCCTCTACAATGATATTATTTCATGACAGTTATATATATACATAGAGAGAGAAGTAAGAAAGAGAATACTTCATGAAAATAAATGTTTAAATGTGTATGCATGTATCTGGACTATGTTTACCATGCACTAGATTTTGTTGAAAATGTGAAAAATTTATTCAATTTTTAAAAAATTGGTGTAAGTTATGCATCATGATGGTACAATAACTAAAAACAAACTAAGTACCTTGTAGTCTTTTAAAAATAATTTCAGTTTTACTGCAAATAACTCTACTAACATATTTTTATTATTACATACTTCTTTATCAGTACAGAGCACCTTATCTTGTACAGGAGCTTAATCAATAGGAAGAGGAAAGATACGCATAACAATGTATTTAATTTTATTTGCTTAATGGGTGATTTTTCTTTTACTTTTTGAATAAAGAGTTATCATTTTTTAATTTCAATTTTAGGCATTTTACTCTTCTTATTTTAAGCTGTAGTGGAGTAAAGGATGTAAGTTACAAGTTATGCCTTACAAATTCGAATCTGGCCACTTTGTGATACGAATTCACATATCACTGTTCACTGTTATTTTTTTTGCTAACAAAAGCACTGTTTAGGTGAATGTGTCTAGTAACTTTAACCACTCTTCTTTTACGTTTCTAAATTCTAATGCCCCTTTGGTGAGTGGCCAAACTTCGTCTTAGGAATAATCACACACCTTTATTACATGAATTACAGCACAACACAACACAATGTCACGTAGGTAGGAACTATATAGGACTAGGAATAAAAAGCACGAAGGAGACGTCTAATGGGGAAGAGATTGGGATGGTCATTGAACAGTGTGAGACTGTGTCTGAGAAAGAGGCATTGGAAAAATAAAATCCCAAGTCAGATAGCAATAATAATGACTCATAAACACCCTACTACTACCTCAAATATACCATATAATAAACAAAAAATATATAATAAAACCAAAGTACTTACATAGTTACATGCCATCCTCTTCTTATAGACTCACCAACATTTTCTAACTTCGCACAAAGCCTTCTTCTTGTTCCCGTAATAACAATCTTCTTCTGTCTGAACACAACATATTCTGATGATGCTTGCGTAACGAGAGAAACAAAACAACATATTTTGGTTTGGTTAGTCACTAGTTTGATGAAAAATATGCAAGGCTTCAAGACAGCACAACCACGTTCACAACTCTACTGCCACTCTTCCCTTTTGCTTCGGTGTGTAGTAGCTTTTGTCACCATTTTGTTTATTTATTTCCCTTTTGTTATTCTTCTAGATATCTCTTTGTGTGCAACAATGTTGTGCCGTTTTGATGTTGGCAAGCTTTTGTTTGTGCTAATGAAACAGAGCTTCTCTGTTTTGAAACAGGGGAAACGACACCAACCGGAACCCGACCCGGTTCTCTGATCTTGGAGATCTTCATTCCTGTGCCGTTTTTCATCAGGAAGATGTTGTTGATTTAAGCTCAAGTAAGCGACTCGCAGTGTGTTTGGTTTCACCATATGAACAAAATGAATGGCTTAGTGTTGTTTTAAGAAAATAATTGTTGTTTTTTATAACTAAATGAAACAGTTTTCGATTGAGAAAATTTTGTTGTTTCTTAACACGTGTTAACTGTAAATTTGAGTGAAGTAAGATAATCATGTGTTTAGATTTTTAAGCTCTTAAATGACATGCATCTTGTGTGTGGGTGTGCGCGAGCGTGTGTGTATGTGATTAATTTGAATTTTGTATTCTTTTTGCAGGTTCTATGTTTAGTATGAAGTCAAGCAATGTCGTTGGTAGCAGTAACATGCAATATGGAACATTGAGCACGGTGGTTTTTCTTCTTCTTACTTTTTTCCCTTTGTTGTGGGAAGATTGTAGACGAGTTTTATTCTCTCAGGGCCTTGTGTGATTTAACTTTTGAGTTGAAAATGTTGTGTTTGTGTAGAATATTGGGTCTGCAGAGATTGGTTCAAGTGGGGGAGGGTGCATGGATACAGGACAGCAACTGATGTACCACAAAGGAGTGGCTATGACAACCTTGCCTTCAGGAAATGGTCATGTTGACAATTGGGCTGATTCAGGTATAGCAGATAATAGCCAACAAACTGACGATACCTCCACAGATATTGACACTGATGATAGAATCCAAGTAAGTCGATAGTCTCTTTCTCAATCATGTTGACATACAACTCTGTTTGACTATTTGATTTGCATTTTTTTGTGGTTACGGTGAAGGGTGCATAAGAGACGATCATTTTAAATTATTTTAAGTGGGAATTTTGTCACTAGTTGGTTTAACTTTGTTATCCCTGAAAATAGTAGGGGCTTTGGTTTTATTCTTATCAAGATTTTATTCATTTCTAGTTCCTACAGAACAAGGATCTGGTTTTGCTCTTCGCTAGAGACTAAAGATATTCCCCCATTAAGGAATAGAAACATGAGATTTTATAATTTTTTGGGACTAAAAATCAGTAAAATATTTTATTGGGATTATATTTTAAATTCGAAATCTGTCATATTTTCACCACCAAAAACATGGTTAATACACTTGTATAGTTTTACTGGAACTGAATAATAGTGTCTGTAGAATTTCCATTCAATTCAATCATGTCAGTTTTTTACTGTAGGGTGTGTTTATATGCATTTTGGATCAAGTGCTTCTGCATTCTAAAACAGTTTTGGGAAACCAAAAATTCTTGCTTCCATGAATTAGAGCAAGTGTGCTTGTGTACATATGTGAGCCTATCGATCTGTAAACAAGCACGTTAATATAAGTATCTTTTTTAAATTTTAGTACATCAGATTTATGTTTTAGATGAATGAATGAATCTTGATGATGCCTTATAGTGTCTCTTGACCATGTGTTAGTGCAATAGAGTTAAGAACGGGTCACGTATAGTTGTGCACTCCAAGGATCAGACAAAGGTCAAACCTGAAGATCAGAAGGTTTTGTGTTTGGTTACAACTTGTTTCAATTGGTAGCTACTGAGTTGTGTTTCATGACTAATTCTTATATATGCCATTTTTTAGACACTGCGTAGACTGGCTCAGAATCGGGAGGCTGCAAGGAAGAGTCGGTTAAGGAAAAAGGTAATTGCTTCAAAGATTTACATTTTATACTTTGATATGTAGAGAACTAGAAATGGGATCCTTTTGTTTAGTCTATTGACACCCCTTTTCATATGTATCCTTATCTATGTTGTTGGTGAAGAGAGTAGATTTTAGATATTTATAAATTTTGGAATACTATGATAGAATTGTGCAAGTTAAGTATACAAATAACAAAACATGTACTACTTTTATGAAAATTATGCAAGTTTCAATTTACTTCGATTCAAGATTTAAAGTGGAACATATTTCATTCATTTATAGGCTTTGTTTTTAATAGGCATATGTACAGCAATTGGAGAACAGCCGAGTCAAGCTTGCTCAATTAGAGTTAGAACTTCAACGAGCACGTCAGCAGGTGTAAGAAGTTAGAGGTTTCTAGTTGATGTTTGCTGTAGATAATTCCATTTGTTATCAAAGTTGGTTATGTTTCATTGCAGGGCATATTTATCGCAACTCCAGGTGATCAAGGTCATTCAGCTGTCGGAAATGGTACCTATAAAGAAAAGCATTATTTCCTGCAGTTTCCAAGACATGATGCTTGTATTGGTTTTCTTGCATTCTCTTGAAATTTAAGTTTGATAGACTAATGACAAGCTCATCTCCCATCAGGAAAATAATGTGTTTGCAACTTCAATTGAAATTCATGCGAATTAGGTGAAATTTATACATGGAACTTCACTACAGCTTCAAATATCAGCAGTGTTATGCAAATATAGTAGATGAAATTGATTTCCAAATTCCATTGGCTATATGGAGTGTGATTGGTGTATAGATTATTCACTTGTATTGTAGCATCACTGCTCTCAAAATGCCAATTTCTTAGATTTCTTAGAAGATAGATTATAACTATTCTGCCGATGTCCATGTGATAAAATCAACTTTACTTAACTAGCATACCAATTATAAGTATTTTAATACGACTGAATGTCTGGCAAAGTTAGTGTTTCCGTTGCCTACTAAACTCTTGTACTCATTCATTCGTGGATAATTACTGCATTGAGGTTACCATTTTTTTATGACCAAAATATGAAATATGGCTTCTATTTGTTAACTTGAGATTTCGTAAGTGGCCAATGAGTGAGGTTCATATGGTGCATGCTGTTTGTTATGTTAAAGTGCAGTCTGTTGAAATCTATTTCATCATTGGAGGACTGTGACTGATGATATTTATTGAATATGTAGGGGCCTTAGCATTTGACATAGACTATGCTCACTGGGTTGATGAGCACCAACGTTTGCTCGATGATCTAAGATTGGCTGTAAATTCTCAAATGAGTGATAACGAATTACATATCCTTGTGGAAGGTGTCATGGCACATTATAATGAGTTATTTAGGTTAAAGAGCATAGGGGCAAAGGCTGATATATTTCACATACTTTATGGAATGTGGAAAACACCAGTGGAAAGACGTTTTATGTGGCTTGGTGGATACCGGTCATCCGATCTTCTCAAGGTGATTGACCAATTTAGCACTTCCATGTCATTTGTGTTCACTTCTGTAGAAATACCTTTTGTTCACTTCCACTTGTTGTCTTTTGGGATTCAGATCATCAAGAACCACCTTGAGCCATTGACAGAGCAGCAGTTGGTGGGCATTTGTAATCTGCAACAATCTTCTCACCAGGCAGAGGATGCTTTAGATCAAGGCATGGAAGCATTGCAGCATTATCTTGTAGAAACACTTTCCTCCACCTCCCTAGGACCCACTGGTAGTGGAAATGTTGCTGATTACATGGGTCAAATGGCTCTTGCAATGGGCAAGCTTGCTGATCTGGAGAATTTCCTTCATCAGGTATGATACAATGACTTTGGGGAGCTAAATTTGATCAGAATTTCTAAATCCTCATTGAAGTTTTTCCTACTAATCCAACTTCTTACTAAATATTTTTTTTTTTTTTTTTAAGTTTTTTAAGATATTAAGTGGACTTACATTAACATTTTTTACTTCTTTTGTGAATGGATTATCTCATGTGGAAACTTTGTATCTCTTGTTTCATAATTATTCATTAGTTTTAATAAGGCCACCTATTTAATGCTTGTGATGAGAAAGATAGACACAAAACTTCAACATGCCAAGGTTATGTGAAAATTCAGCCTTAGAGGAACTATTCCTTATTTTCTTTCAATGGTATTAGGAAGTTAATGAGGATAATAATATAGCTAACTCATAATATATCCTTCTAATTATTGGGGTGTGCTACATATCACACAGTATATGCTTCATTGAAAATTTTCTCTCATTTCCTTCTGCTAACAAAATTTTTAACCACTACCATCAAGATAATCAGAATCATAAGTTTAGGCGAATTGTGTTCTAAATATATTTTATGTTCTTAGGCTGACCGCTTGAAGCAACACACTCTTCAACAGTTGCAACGAATTTTGACTACGCGTCAAACTGCCCGGGCCCTCCTTGTCCAAAGTGATTTCATTTCAAGACTCAGAGCACTTAGTTCATTATGGTTGGCACGCCCTAGAGAATAGGGACTTACATCAGTATCGGCTTTCTCCAGTGCATATCTTTCTGCAGTACTTCCTATGTTGGCTCCAAACTAATTTGCCATTTCTGTTCTGAATAGGAACAAAGTCATGAGTTGCTGCCACCTTCAAATACGGTGTTAATAATAAATCGACTATACTGTGAAGAAACCTTGTTGCTGATAACTACTAATCTAATTTTCTTTTATGATAGATTGATGGCATGAAAATATTGTACAAGTTTTATCAGTTTCGATGTTCTGTATATTGCTAGCATATTTATGTGGCCATTATTGTGCAAGTGTTACATCTAGAAGTTGAAACTCTGGTGGAAATGCATATCAATATCAACCTCACCCTTTCAGCAGCAATGGCAGCAACAATGGCAGCATAGTCTAAAATCATGAATTTTCTTTGTACAAAGCATAAAAACATGGCAACGTGATATTCGGAAGATAAACCTGTATTTTGCTTTTCATTTTCTTTTAAACAGGTCGACATTTTTATTTACATTAAATAATGTTACGTAACTTTATCTTGCTTTAATGATAAGAATATTGTTAATCAACACTATTTGATGCTGAAAATGACATACAATTTGAATTGAGAACTTACTGGGGAGATATAAACAATATATTTAAGTTTGATTTATCATTTACTTATTATGACATGTAACTGAAAATGGTATTGAAAGGTGCAAAAACGACTGCACAAATATATACCAGGTGGTTTGTTATAAATTCTTTACATGGATGTCTCATTGAGCATATTTGTGATTAAAAATAAGTACTTAACATCTGCTTCTCATCTTTTCACTCGTAATTGACCCTGCTACAAATTGTACAACTAAGCTATTACGATAAGCAAGGTGGAATCTTCAATGTTCACTACACAAACTTAAAAGGGTAGTTTCTTCAATACTTATTTGCCACTGCTTTATATATTTGCTTTCTGCCATTCATTGTTCCTGCAAAATTTCAGAAAGTACACATGAGCTAAAATTTTACTATTTTTCTATTGGTTTGGACTATAACAAAGTTGAAAGATTGAAAGAGACATGGAATCTGTACCTGGTCTCTGGTATTTTTTACCAGTCACAACTTGGGGTATGAACACCCCAGTACCTCTTCCACTCTTCCACAAGTTCACAGGCAAATCAGCTGAACTTGAGCTTTGTGTTTCCCATGAGCAAAAGTGGTTTGCATGTGGTGATGTTCTGTTGTAAGCTAGCCTTGTTGAACCACCAACGCTAGCTTGGTTGAAAGGTTTTACTACTAATAAATCTTCCTCATCTTCAGATGTCAATTGCAGAATCTGCCTCCTAATCTCAGCATAGAAAGTATCATCATCAAACTGTGCCTCCATAGTGATATTTAAAAGATTAGTCAAGGTTTCTAACAAAGGCTTGTGTTTGGATGAATATATTTGAAAAATATAACTTGGGGGCTTAAACAAAAATAGAAATTGAGGCTCATATATATAGATGAAAGTATCACATAAAACACAGAATTACTCATTTTTTTTATTGACAATGTTTGTTTTAGGTCCTAGAAAGCAGGACTGTACAAATTTCATTTCAAATAGTGTCCAAATTGGAAGAATATGCTATTTTTCGGATGTTAATAAGTCTCTTCTGCCTTAAGTGCTTTGAAATTTTGGTTGCAATCATTTTACACATGAGCCAAATTAAATGAATCAGAATTTAGAAGCGATTTGGCGGTTGCTTTATAATGGCATAATGTAATGTTTATTCATCTTAAAATATCAACATCAACCATACTTGAAGTTCAGGTCACCATATAATATAATATAAGATTCCCAAGGTATTGTTTCTCAGCATTGACTTGGTTTGTGCTTTACGAAGTGGCTAAACAAGAGTATCAAATTGGTGGTGGATCAACACTCACGAAGCATAACTAATTAACTAGGCATTAAAAGGTCAAACTTATGCTATATTTGGATTGATTCTGGCATTTGAAATTGTTTAAAGAATTTGATTGAAATGCATGAATAGTTTTTTACACTATTGTTCAATCATGGATTAAAATGTTTCATAAATTTATTAATTCTTGTAATAATTGGTTTAAAAGTTATTTAAGATTATTTCTTAAATTTGTTCCTTGCAAAGGTTACGCCTAACAAGTATTTATTCCTCAGAAACAATCTTAACACTAATTAGAGAAGTACATGTTTAAGATTCCTTGAGGCAGAGGAGGGACAGGTTTTTGATGGGTAAAGATTGTGTGGGGAACATCTTAGTGGGGTCCATCACGTTAAATCGTGTTGGTCTTTGGATACCACAAAATTCAGACCACATATTCCCTATATTTGCAAATTGCAATGATAGTTAAGAAGAGATTGTGGTAATGAGCTGGGTTTTTGCTACCTGTCTCCTCGGAATGAGATGACATTCTTTCATTGACATCAAAGTCTTCTCTCCTCGTACAAATAATTGTTGCAGCATGTGGACAAAATTGAAACATCAAGAAAAGAGTGTAAAAAAATAATAAATAAAGAAAAATAAAATATTAATTGAAAATTAGGATTATTTTATTTTTCAAAATTTGAAAGATTGATGTTAAGGATATTGTTTTATTTATTATATGATTTTGTCTGCTTTCGAATTTTAGATAATATTATTATGATTAATTTATATATATATATATATATATATATATATATGAAATATTATCTATTTTAGAATTATATGATGATTTTGTCATTATATATTATTATAATATAATAATATTAATCAACATAAAATTTATTGATGAGATTATATTCATTTATATTTTATTATATTATAATATTTTTAACTGAGGTGGAATTTGTTAATAATAAAGAGCAATCTTAATATTATTATAAATGTTTAAATGAATTTCATATTTAAACTTGTTTAAAATAAATTTAAATTGTCATTGAAGATTAGATCGGTCAATTCAATTGGTTAAACCAATAACTAAACTAGAAACTAGTTTATTTGTTTCTAAATAACTAAATTTTAATTAAACTAAAATAAAACTGGGACAAAATCAGTAAAACTGAAAAAATTGGTTGGTTTAAACTGATTTTGATAAAAAGAATTTAAGATTACATTTTTTTAATATAATATATTTTATTTTTTTATCTCGTATCAATTATACAATTTTAAATAATAGTTATTTTATTTTAATAATTATCCATTTTTATTTTATAATATATTTTATATTAAAACTTTTATTGTAACTTCGGTTAATTATGACATTAATATTTATAATTTTTTTATTTTTATAAAAAATATATATTATAAAAGTATTATTTTATTAAATATGATTAGACCAATAAACTCTAAGTTTAGTATCTTCAACTGTTTAATAATTGATTCAATTTTAAAACATTAATTATCCTTATCAGAATTAGAGAACAGGATAACCACTTGTGTCTGTACTTAAGTCAATACTAAATATATGAAAAAATATATATTAAGGAATAAATAAATAAAAAAATTTATTAATTATTTATAAGATAATATTAATCATGAAATATTTTATCTTTGTCAAATATATATAAAATATTTTAGATGATTTTAGGAACCTAATTATAATGATATATTTGAAAATATTAAATATTTTAATTAATTATATCATATCTGTTTCATCAAGGCGATGTATATATAATTATTTTATATAAGATTTTATTTATTTAAAAATATATTTTATTTTTTATTTTTAAATTCTAAAAAAATTATTTAATAACTATTTTGTTAAAATAATTTTAATTTTTTTATTTTATTTTTAAAGCTAAAAAATCTAAACGAATAAAATATATATTTTTTAATTTTAAAGTTTTACTAAATATCAATAATTTTATCTTAAATTATTCATTTTCATTACCATAAAATTATTAAAATATAAAATAATAGTTTATTCTTAAAAATTTATCTTATCACTGGAAAAAAAAATTCTAACGAATATAAACCATGAAAAAAAAATTCTTTAATTTGCACTAGTATATTTTTCAAAACAAAAAAAAAATCTTTAAAATAAGTAAAAAGTAACAATTTTTTTATTCAATAACGAGACAAGTAAAAAGGTGTATTTACTTTTCCCTCTTATACAAGGGGACAAAAGTTTAAAATGAAAGAGAGACGTTATTTTACAAAATTATTTTTTCATTACAAATAACCTAAAAATAATTGTACAGATAATTTTGTAATTACATAAATATTAAATTATATTTAAAAATAATTTTCATTCAATTTTTTATTATACTTTTTTCTCAAATAAATAGGTATATTTTTCACTATTATTTTTTTTCTTTATTATCGAATGGAGCTTAAGATTAAGTTGTTGACAAAAATAATTGAAAAATACCTCTACTCTTATAAGCATTTTTATAAGAGCCCTGGTACATTGACAACAGCCTTATTATTATAATATTAAAATAATTGTAAATGGGATATGCCATAGATTTTTTTATTTATTTAATGTATTGTTATATATTTACAACTATTTTTAGTAAATATTTATTGACACAATCACTTTTAAATTTTATATTATTATTTATTTATCTTATTTTATTTTCTTTTTATAATCAATCCAAAAAATAATATTTTAAAATTATCTTATGGATATTTGAAAAAAAATTGAGATATATTAAAAAAAAAATTGCTTTCTAAATGAAATGAGACATTAAATTGCTTCCCACCTTGTAGGCATTACAACGGGCGGGGCGGGGCGGGTTTTGCCTCCCGATCTCCGCCCCGACTTTTTAATTATCCCCATCCCCGCCTCCGATCCCGTTGAGGTTAGAAATTAAGTCTCCATCCCCGTCCTCGCTGGGTTTCGGGTTCCCGCCTCCGCCCCGTCCCGATTTATATTATTTTTAAAAAGATAATTACATTTATAATAAATTAATTTTACTATCTATTTTTTATATATAAATAAATATTTATAATTTTATAATTTATAATAATTATTAATTAAATATACATTCTAATTTATTATATTTATATTAAAATATGTATGTAAAAGAAATATTTAATCATTTTTTATTTATAACATTATTATTGTAATACTATTATAACATTATTATTATAATACTATATTATAACATTTGATTATATATATAAGTTAATTCATTTTTAAGTTGTCATTTAAAAATATGAAATATATAGTTTATAAGAAAATATTTATTAAGTTAATTATTATTCAATTAGTTCAAAGTAATAAAAGTTTAAATTATCAATTCCTTTAATCCTTTAAAATATAATTATTTTATTAAGATAAAATTTGATATATGATAAATAAGAATAATAAGATAAAAAAATGACATAATAAAACCTAATAAATATAAATTATAAATAAAATAACATTATTTACTACTAAGATTTATGTAAAATATTTAGAAAAAGATAGAGAATAAAAAAATTAACTTTGTGTTCATCAAATTGATTGGAAAAAAAAATTGATGGGAGAAATTAAGAAAATGTGAAAAAACTGAAAGGTAAAAGAGAGAATAATGTAATAAATTAATTGATATAAAAGATTAAAAAAGACAAAAAAATTAAAAAATAGGTATAAGAAAAATAAAAATTGGTGAAATATAAAAAAATGAACTTATATGCAATAGAAAAAGAAAAGAAAATACTTTTAAAATATTAATATTTTAAAATTTAAATTTAAATATAAAGTCGGGCGGGACGGGTCGGGGTCGGGTGGGGATTGCATTACCTATCCCCGCCCCGACTTTTAAAGCGAGAAAACCCGAACTCGCCCCCGGCCCCGGTCAACTCGAGTTTTTCCCGTCAAACTCGGGACAGGGACGAATCGGTCCTCACATATACGAGTTTAATTGTCATCCGTAGCACCTTGGATCCATCTTGAAATTACAAACATATTTTTGTAGATTAATAATATATAGACAACAACCTTCTACCAAAGATTCAGGTTATATATTGAATATTTGCAAAGGGTGTCCAAAAATTCTTTACCCTATTTTTTAATCAGAAGTACACACCACCAAACTTATTAATTTAAACGGATACTGTTTATAAGACACGCATAAAAACCAATAATATGTATAACCCATTGTTTACAAACATACATAAAAACCTTCTGCGATAATAACGATCATAAATCACATTAGAATACGTTCAACTCATAAATATATATATATATATATATATATATATATAACCCTAAACAATCCAACATCAGAGAAAGGTGGTAACAATTGGTAAGTCCTCCAATCAACGAGACATGGTGGCAACAATTGGAGGTTCCACGCCTTCCCTCTTCCACTTCTCAATGTTACCTTCCCAACCTTTTAAATGAAATGTAAAATTCAGAAAATTAGGGTTTTCTCATTCATCATAATATATACAT